TGAGGCATACTGCCTGAATGAATTATGTTACCTATACAAGACTAAATCTATATTTAGACCTACTTCCAGTCATTGGATTTGAATATTTAATAGCTTTTTAGACAACTATACAACCCTTCCCCCCCCATAATTTTGTATAAAGTAGACTTTTGCCTGAATAGGGTTTATTTAAGGTACTATATCCATCCCTGTTTTTACTGTATCCCAACTTGGTTTTATTGTATCAACCCAACCCCTGGTTCTACTGTATCCCCCCCCCCTGGTTCTACTGTAACCCTCCCCCTGGTTCTACTGTATTTCCCCTGGTTCTACTGTATCCCCCCTGGTTCTACTGTATACCACCCCTGCTTCTACTGTACCTCCCTGGTTCTACTGTATCGCCCCCCTGGTTCTACTGTATCCCCCCTAGGCTCTACTGTATTCCCCCTCTGGTTCTACTGTATCCCCCCCTGGTTCTACTGTATCCCTCCCCTGGTTCTACTCTATATATACTTCTGATGAATACTAAGTAAACGGGAAAACATAATACATACAAATATTACCCTCCCTCTCTACCTCAACATTCTTTCAGAAAACTCTAACCAGTGCACTGCAAACCAATGGCGGCTTATGCAGAGAAGAGGACTGTTTATTAAAATAAAAATGGAGAGACTATGACGTCAAAAAAAAAATTCTCAGATGCGTATTCAATTTACTTGAATTCTGTTAACTATATTGCAAAACATTTCAATGTCAAAATTTAAAAGTTATGTTTACCGTCAAAGAGTAAAAATAAAGTTTACCGCCAAAGAGTAATAATGATGTTTACTGTCAAAGAGCAAAAATAATGTTTACCATGCCAAAGAAAAAAAATGATGTTTACCACCAAAGAGTAAAAATTATGTTTACCGTCAAAGAGTAAAAATTATGTTTATCGTCAAAGAGTAAAAATGACGTTTACCGTCAAAGAGTAAAAATAATGTTTACCGTCAAAGAGTAAAAATAATGTTTACCGTCAAAGAGTAAAAATAATGTTTACTGTCAAAGAGTAAAAATAGTGTTTACCGTCAAAGAGTAAAAATATTGTTTACTGTCAAAGAGTAAAAATAGTGTTTACCGTCAACGAGTAAAAATATTGTTTACTGTCAAAGAGTAAAAATAACGTTTACCTGAATAAGAACACAGAGATCCAGACAACGATGAAAAAATGCACCAATTTCTTAGAGTGGGTCGAGACTACAGTTTTTAAGAAGTAATTAGCAAAAAGTTCTTAGTAATTTTTGTTTGGGATATAGAACTTTAAATCACTGCAGAGAGAAGAGCCAAAAGATCAGATGAACTCAAAACTCAAAGTTTTAGGAATAGAACCTGAAGACGACATGACCTATCTCTAGTCTAATAAACAGGGTTACCCACAAAGGATGAGACAGTAAAGAGACACGAAACTTTAGAATATAATAATTCCAAGCATTAATTAAGTCTACTACCTCCAATATGGTTGTTTAAATGCATATTAAATGATTTGACAAAGAGCGAAACAAGTGTTAAGCTGGGAGCTATTGATATAAGAAAATATATCAATATTGATATATAAATTCCGAATAGTCGTCTCTGAAGTTTTATTCTTTGTGGGTAACCTTGCATGCATGTAGCCTTGTGATTCTGTGACCCAGTTAAATTACTTTATGCTTTACCTTTTTAAAGTGTATTATTATATTTGTTTTTACAATTTTTAATGTTTTGATAGCTGGCTTTATAAAATGGTTTTCTTGAATATCTTCATCTCCTATTCTATATACTTAGGACATTCAGATGATAATCTGTCATATCCTGACTGTTCAAGAGGACCACCATCCTAGGTTTTTATATTCATATATATTATTTATAAATACATAGCTATAGATTTTTGTAATCTAAAGAGAAGATTTTGCAATATTAAGCTGGGTTAGTATATAAATAATTCTCTGCCACGTTAAACTAAAATAAATAATTCTTTTCCACGTCAAACTAAAATAAATAATTCTCTTTCACGTAAAACAAAAATAAATAATTCTTTTCCATGTAAAACTAAAATAAATAATTCTTTTCCACGTCAAAATAAAATAAATAATTCTCTTCAACGTTAAACTAAAATAAATAATTCTTTTCCAGGTCAAACTAAAATAAATAATTCTTTTCCACGTCAAACTAAAATAAATAATTCTTTTCCACGTCAAACTAAAATGAATAATTCTCTTCCATGAGAAGCTAAAATTAATAATTCGCTTTCACGTCAAACTAAAATAAATAATTCTCTTCCACGTCAAACTAAAATAAATAATTCTTTTCCACGTCAAACTAAAATAAGTTATTCTCTTTCATGTCAAACTAAAAATAAATTAAACATTAGATTTAAATCTGACATCTTTTCAATGATATTTACAACTTCGGTCTTATTGAGGAGGTTTTTAAACGACCAAAAATGTTTTGAATTTCTAATATGTAAATTTGCATGACTGAGATTCATAAATTCCACCTTCGTACCGTGATTCTAAGGCATTCTTTTTATAATTTATCCCCCCCCCCCGTCTACACATTTAAATTTGATTTTCGAAGAAAGTTATTTCTATTTCCATCTTTCCTGGGTCTAGAGCACTTCTTTTAAAAGCTGTTTTTCTCCTGGTAAGATAAAATCACGCTGTGACATTAGTTACTCCGACCATAGTAAAGTATTACAGCAAAAACCTGCAATATAACAAACCAACTTTTTACACAAAATAGAAGACGCAACAGATAGAAGTAAGATTAGTGGCGATCAAAAGCGCTTTTTTATCGCATTAAGCCTATACCCCCTTTCATTTTTCGCGAACACTCCCTTTAAGTCACAACAAAAACTATCTATAATTTCAAAATTAGCGAACTGAAAACTATTTTGAATAAAAAAAATGTAACTTAAACATTATATTTTCAAATAGATATAAACAATTACGGATATAGAAGAAACATAAAACACCTATTAAAGTTCTAAAAAATGTGCAGTTAAGAAATTATACAGTGAATCCCAAATATATGAATACACAGACTGTCATATGTTTTTGATAATTCTAAAGAAACTTCTGTTTATTTTTTATTCAAGGTAAATTAAAAGCCCTGAAATATGAATGCAATTGATATATTTATATTAAACTCATTTTTCCGCGGCATTTGATCTTAAATATGTAATACGACATTATAAAAAACTCTTGCTATGTATTCATATATCTGGGATTCACTGTACAAAAGTCCGAAATCAACAGGTTATTTTTATTTCAATTATAAAACTTGGGGCTATGGGACATTTTTTTATAATTGAACTTTAAAAATTGTGGAGAATTCTTGTCTTGTCTCTTAAAGTAATGAATTAAAAGACTAAACTTCTCTAATTTTCGAAAAGAATTTAAGGAATAAGTAAAAATAAATATTTGTCAAGAGTTTGTATAAATACTTTCTTGACAGTAAAGCGTTTTTTTGGTCGAAAGCACGAACTTCCAAAAAAAAGTTTTCATGCTTTTTAACTTTATCATATTTTATGTTTCTTCTATATCGAATCACAGCCATCATAGTAAGGAAGCAGAGCAGTACAATTAAGGAATAATAGTATTTTCTATAATTTAGAGAACTTTTTTAGAAACAAAGCTCATTAAAGAAAAAGATTGCAAATTTCAACTTTTATCAGAAAGAATTAAAAACTGTCACAGTTTGATTTTCAGGAACTTAAAACTTTCTTATTTCAATAATTAGGAAATACAAGTTTGTAAAAAGTTTAAATACTGTATCAAAGAATTGTAATTAGGTTTAATTAAAAAGTTTTAAACAACGCTTTCATCAAAAGAAGTTTTCATTAGAAGATGAATTTAGTTTTTCAACTTCTGGAACAAAGTTTTTTTTTGGCATCATAGTAGCTAGTTAATATGAAGAACTTAAAGGGAAAACAGGCGTAATTTTCAGTAACTCTCTTTTTACAAACCACAATGGAAAAATCTAAATTTTCAGAAGAAAAAAAAGTCTACATAATGTTTGTACGGAACAAGGTTTAATTATAGATAACTTGATAAACGAGACGTGCCAGTCCTAAAATTGGAGGGTTACTTGATAATTCGTCGATAGTTCTTTTAATATCTTTAAAAAGGTCAAAGTCTGTTTGACGAGGGGAGGAAGGCCAACCACATCAATCTTTAGTCCGAACCACATTCTCCTCATTTTCTCGTCCTTTCAATATTATTTTTTTTAAAGTGTCCGATCTTTGAAAATAAATACATTTTTTTAAAAATATGGCGACGTTAGGGCAAAGATGACATATAAATTTTTCCCAATTCAATTTTAGATTTGCGTAAAAATGAAAATGCTCCATAAACAATGTTCTACAAAAAAGCGTCTGTATCAAGAGCCCTTTCTTTCGCGGAAAATGCCGCAAAACATTCTCAAACTCGATGTAAACAACTTTTTGTAATATTCCAGCTGAATTTGGGTTAGAGATATGACTTACAATTTTTATATGATTAAATATTGAATTCATAGGGCTGTGACCAATTAATTGTAGCAAATGATTTGAACAATATAAATTGAACATTATTTTTTCTATAATTTTAAGCATGCGGCAGGCAGTAGTGATCTCTTAGTGGGGACAACAAATCTACCTTATTTGTAAATAAATCAGAAATCAATGATTATTTTGTATGGGTTGAAATGGAAAGATTAAAGACCATGTTCACGCGAATTCTTTGGTATAAATTTTTTTTTTTTAAGTTATCCAGTTTGGAGGCAGAAGAGATTCAATTTTTAACCTAAATAATGTTTGACATCATTCTCGTGGATTTGAAGATTCCAACATCTCAAAATCCTTGGAAAACTTTATTCTAGTCATGTTTTAGGCCCTAACGTCGCCATATTTTTAAAAGATGTATTTATTTTCAAGGATCGGACACTTAAAAAAAATAATATTGAAAGGACGATGATTTTGAGGTGGTTCGGACGAGAAAATGAGGAGAATGTGGTTCAGACTAGAGATTGATGTGGTTGGCCTTCCTCCCCTCGTTTGGCAGAGCATTTCATAAAAAAATACACTATTAAAAATTGTATCATAAAATCTTGATGCAAATTGGATACTTTTAGGCGGCAATACACTTAAGAAGACAAACTTAGATTCCACATTGAATATAGTTTATATAACCATGTTACAGATAATAAAAAACTAAATTAAATTAACCTCTTAAAAAGCAATAGATCTATTTATGAGAACAAAAGTCCGGAAATGGACTAAGGGACCGGATTTAACGAGTTGCAACTGTAAGAAGTCCTTGAGCTAATTTTCATACTATTTTAAAAACGTTCTTTCCGTTCCGTTAAAGAACGATCGTTCCTCAGGATCTCAAAGTTAAAGATTCATGAGGATTTAGATTTTGAATCGGAGACTGAATCGGTAATACAGGATTTGAATTGGCGGTAGTTAGTTCAGTGAGCTATTCAATTCATTAATTTCGGTCCTTGTTTGTCCATGAGCAATAGTCAAATGTTTACGAACCCTCAAATATTTCATGAACATGAAAATAGAAATATTTCATGAACATTTACAGTTAAGTTCATAATCATAGATTTAAATAATTCATGAGCATTCACAGATAAGTTCATAAATTCATGGATTCAGATATATTAGTATATGACGTAAAATTCCTCCTCATGAATTTGACTACAGGTAATCTTGTTTATTAGTCCTCCTCATGAACTTGACTACAGATAGTCCTGTTTATCAGTACTCCTCGTGAACTTGACTACAGATAGTCCTGTTTATCAGTGCTTCTCATGAACTTGACTACAGATACTCCTGTTTATTATTCTTCCTCGTGAACTTGAATACAGATAGTCCTGCTTTCAGTCCTCCTCATGAACTTGACTACAGATAGTCCTGTTTATCAGTACTCCTCGTGAAGTTGACTACAGATATTCCTGTTTATCAGTATTTCTCATGAACTTGACTACAGATAGTCCTGTTTGACAGTCCTCCTCAAAAATCTGACTACAAATAGTCCTTTTTAACAGTCCTCCTCATAAACTTGACTTCAGATAGTCCTGTTTAACAGTCCTCCTCAAAAATCTGACTACAGATAGTCCTGTTTAGTAGTCCTCCTGGTTGTATAGTCTCTATGTTGAACAAGTGGTGTGGCTAGTTTAGGAAAATTAATAAACTTTCTATGTTTAACTCCTGAACCGTTGGACTCTTTATCACTGGTAGTCTCTGTATAGTGGTGGATACTGGAGATACAACTCCTATCCTTAGCTCTTGAAGGAAGAGGAGTCAGCTCAATACCAGTATCAGAGGAGTCCCTGGTGTCCCTGTATAACTGGGTTACTGAAGAACCAGTTTTTCTTAGATAAACAGCAGTCTGCAAACCTATAAAAAATATTTAATTAAAAAAATAAAACTGAAAACTTTTACAATATAAAATGCGGCAGCTTTGGAAAAAACAATGGAAAAATTGAAAAATAATAATTTAGTGATTAAACCCTTGATAATGTTAAGTGCTTTCCCAAAGGATTTTTCCCTTTCCCAAGTGGAAATTTCCCAAGGGTATTTTCCTAAGTGGCAACTTCCAAAATGTGGAATTTTCCAAGCGTCAATTTCCTAAGCCTGTCCTAGTCGCAGTTCTCGGCCTCCGGACTGTTCTAGCCGCGGCGTCGGCCCCCTAGTCCATCCTAGCCGTAGCACTAGGTCCCCATTACAGCCTGCGGCGCCTCAGAGGGCCTAACCTAACCTTCGGGGAGTTGCAGCTTGAGAAATTGCACATTTGGGAAGTTGCCACTTGGGAAATTGTCATTTGGGAAGTCACGTTTGGAAAAATGCCTTTGGAAAAGTACCTAATACCTTTATTAGTACTAAAAAGAAGCTTTCGTTTTCAATTTAGATTTTAGCTAAGAATTCAAACAACAGAAACATTTAGTAATTAAAGTCATATTCATTGTATTGATATAATTGCCGGCCACTGTGCACAAATATGCTAAAATAAACGATGAACATAAAGAAATAATAACCTTGAAGTTTGGTTTTTAAGTTTTGCTATGAATATAAAGAAACTAACCTTGCAGCTTGGTTTCTGGGGTTCACAATGAATATAAAGAAACTAACCTTGAAGTTTGGTTTCTAGGTTTCACTATGAATGTAAAGAAACTAACCTTGACGTTTGTTTTCTAGGTTCACTATGAATATAAAGACACTAACCTTAAAGTTTGGTTTTAAGGTTTTACTATGAATATAAAGAAACTAACCTTCCAGCTTGGTTTCTGGGGTTCACTATGAATGTAAAGAAACTAACCTTGAAGTTTGGTTTCTAGGTTTCACTATGAATATAAAGAAACTAACCTTGAAGTTTGGTTTCTGGGGTTCACTATGAATGTAAAGAAACTAACCTTGACGTTTGTTTTCTAGGTTCACTATGAATATAAAGACACTAACCTTGAAGTTTGGTTTTAAGGTTTTACTATGAATATAAAGAAACTAACCTTTCAGCTTGGTTTCTGGGGTTTACTATGAATATAAAGAAACTAACCTTGAAGTTTGGCTTCTGGGGTTCACTATGAATGTAAAGAAACTAACCTTGAAGTTTGGTTTCTAGGTTTCACTATGAATATAAAGAAACTAACCTTGAAGTTTGGTTTCTGGGGTTCACTATGAATATAAAGAAACTAACCTTGAAGTTTGGTTTCTGGGGTTCACATGAATATAAAAAGAAACTAACCTTAAAGTTTGGTTTCTGGGGTTCACTTTGAATATATAAAGAAACTAACCTTAAAGTTTGGTTTCTGGGGTTCACTATGAATATAAAGAAACTAACCTTGAAGTTTGGTTTCTGGGGTTCACTATGAATAAAAAGAAACTAACCTTGAAGTTTGGTTTCTGGGGTTCACATGAATATAAAGAAACTAACCTTGAAGTTTGGTTTCTGGGGTTCACATGAATATAAAGAATCTAACTTGAAGTTTGGTTTCTGGGGTTCACTATGAATATAAAGAAACTAACCTTGAAGTTTGGTTTCTAGGTTTCACTATAAATATATAAGGAAACTAACCTTAAAGTTTGGTTACTGGGGTTCACTATGAATATAAAGAAACTAACCTTAAAGTTTGGTTTCTGGGGTTCACTTTGAATATATAAAGAAACTAACCTTAAAGTTTGGTTTCTGGGGTTCACTATGAATATAAAGAAACTAACCTTGACGTTTTTTTCTAGGTTCATAATGAATATAAAGAAACTAACCTTGCAGTTTGGTTTCTAGGTTTCACTATAAATATATAAAGAAACTAACCTTAAAGTTTGGTTTCTGGGGTTCACATGAATATAAAGAAACTAACCTTGAAGTTTGGTTTCTCTGTATCCCGGTTTACTGGTTTTGTTTCTACAAAAGAAACTGCTGACCAAAGAAGACCAACTGAAAAATAAATAATGTTGATGAATAATTCAATGGAATCGAGTCCTTGCCGTAAATTCTAATTTTCTAATCTCTATATCTATGCAAACCAATTTTGAGACCATTTATTTTCAAAATCTGTGTGATGAAATTGTCTAAATTTGAGATATCAAAGGTTGCAAAGAGATAGGGATTAGAAAATTTGAGTTTGTGGCAAAAACGAAAACAACTGAAAAAAATAAGTTAAAAAAGTCGAATTTAGAGTTCTAATGATTTGTCCGAAGGACAATTAAAATATCCCAAAGTATAAATTGAATTTTGTGGAGCGAGCGCTGAAAAGTTTAAGCTGAAAGTATGCAACAGGGGGGAAAGTTTTCAATAATTTAAACCCTTGGTATCTGGTCTACACGAATATAGCAGAACCTGGTTTACATTAGAAATATTTGTTCAGGGGTAAAAATGGGTAAATCGACATGTTAAGTTTCATTAGGTTAAACATCTAAACTATAAGGCCGAATTTAAAGAATTTGAGCCACGGCTTAAATTTGAGACGCGGCTCAAATATGGTTGGTTCCACTTAAGTTTGTATTCAATGTTTCAAGATTTAAGTAGGCACGGCTCAAATTCATTAAAATCTAAACTGATGACTTTCCTCAATCTCAAATTTTTGTATTATACTATATCGTTGCAACCTTTGAAATTTAAGCCTACGATTTCTACTTTATCTGGCAACCAAAGTGTAAAATATCGAAGGTTTACACCATCAGGTTAAAAAAAAGAGAATGTTAAATTGGAATAAGAGGTCAGTGTTTACTTTTCATTTTGTTTCTGCTTTTGTATTTAAACTTTAATTAAATCTAATAATATTAATTTTAATTTGTGAGTTTTAATTTACTGTCAAATTTGTATTACATTTTTCGTGATCGTCATTAAATAATTTAAAAAACGATTCTCAAAATCCTTTCTCCAAAATAGACAATCTATGAGGATTTTAAAAATTGAATTTGCACTTTTGCTGAATAAATATGCTTCGTGAAAACGTATGATATGTCTCAAATGAATTCTTCAAAATTTCTTTACAATACTACATTCTCAGCTCAACTACCATGTCAAGCCAGACACTCCCTTTAACATAAAAATCAAAAAATAAGAAAAAGATATATATTAATGAAAGAAATCTCAACATAAGATAAAGAGAAACAAAAAATGAAAAAACAATAGTTTATGAAAAGAAGGAATATAATCCAAATTGTAAAAAAGAAAACTAAAATTTTCTCCAAAAATATTTTTAATTTAAATCTATTTACCAACTTTACTAAATTAAACAGTTAATCAAATAAAATGAAAAAATTAATAAAATAAAAAATAATTTATTAAGTAAAATATGTAAAAAGTTTAAATTAAACAATAAAATTCCTAGACTGAAAAACTATTCTTTTACAAGAAAAAACTTGTAATCCTTGTATTTTGGTAAACCCCTGTTAATGAACTCCTGTTTTTACAGAGAAAAGGATTAGAAAACTAAAACATCCTTAACAAACCTCTAACAAGTCTGATAAGTCAGAATTAAAGGGGTTTATGGGAAACTCTCTTTTTAATAAGAAATTCTATAAACATTTACTTTTTAAATGTTTGGTTTGAAAAAAATAATTTGTGTTAAAAAGTAATATTACTTTTTGTAAACAAAGCTATCATTTTTAAAAACTATAAGATAAACCAAATTTTTCTGCAAATACGCAAAATAATTCTAAACTATATTGAGGTTTAGATATTGTGCTTCTTTATCTTGAAAAGGGATAAATTCTGTTAATTTCTTTCATTGCTTGTGAGGCATACAATAATCCGCAGGAAACTTTTTAAAGAAACTACAGGGAAAAAACTGTTAAACAGAAAAAACATAAGACGTGAAAAGTTTAATCGGTAAAGCTACGTTTTAACTTTTGCAGTCGTCTTTACAGTCTCATAATTTGTGGGTAACCCTGAATATAAACTAGTTATCTTTATTTGTCTTTTTGTATATTCGATCATAACTCAAGAACCCCTTGACAGATTCAACTCAAATTTTGATCGGAAAATTCGGGAGAACCACGGGAATTTTCTTTGCTTGGTTTTAAGATTCTAAGTTGAGTGGGTCGACTTTGCTAGGGGAAACTAGCGAAAATCGTAATTTACGACCAATCACGGGTACACGGCGGGGTTCTCAAGCTGGTTTCTAATAAAATTTTGTTTTCTTAAATATATAAATCTATTCACCTTCCAGTTCTCTTATGGTTTGCCTGCTGGTCTAGTTTTGGTTGAAACCAGGAACCATCTAGTTCTATTTCCTCGGCTCTAGATCCTATCCAATCACAGGTTGAGAGCTGGCGGTCATTAACACCCAGCTGACGGTCATTTACACCCAGCTGCCGGTCACTAGATCCCAGTTGCCGGTCACTAGATCCCAGTTGCCTGTCACTAGATCCTAACTGTCGGTGACTCAACTTTATCTCATTAGTTTCCATCTTTGGTTCTCTAGATAATATCGGTCGGTTGACCGTCGGTTGTATTCTTCTTTCTTTCTGGTTAGAATCCATGGATGATAATCGGTCACTGACCGCTGCTTGCCGATCACTGGTCACAGCTGACATGTCCAAAGTACATGATGTATTAATACGTCCTCTTAGGTCCTGAGTAACACTGAGAGTCCTACTGTTCACAGGACGGTCTAAAACAAAATATTAAATTTTATTCTAAAAAAAACTTTGCTAGTTTGGTTCTATGTAATTGAATTTTCCATAGAAATTTGTTATTTCCCTCTACTTAATATATGTATATAGTAGAAGTAAAACATGATGTTTTCGTGAATTTTTCATCTTTTTACATTAATAATGAAAATTAATCTTCCTGACTAAATTCTTGAGATTATCCAAGGTCTTACAAATAATGAAAATATTTTCAGGATTTAGAAAATATTTTGTCATAAGTTGATTATTCTTTTAGTATCCCCCCCCCCCCCATCCATCAGTTAGTTTTAAATTGAAAGTTTTAGATTATTACCCTCGAAATCATTAGCTTTGGACAAAGTAAAGATATTTAAAAAAATTTGTTTTGAATTTTCTGTGTTAAAGCTCAATAAATCTTTCGCTTGACTTTTAAACTAAAAGATAGAAATATTTCATTATTTATCTCATACAAGAAAATTGTGTTATTTTGAAAAAATTATCTCTTCTCTTGTTTTGTAAAATGTATTAATTAAAGAGTTAAAAAGTACAAAATCTAAGTCAGATAAGGAGGGGTTGGGGGGGGGGGGGGGGGCTTGCAAACCAGTAATTGCTTCTCTCTTTAAAAAAAAATAGGATTTTTTTCTAACAGTGAGATTTAAGTTCTAAAATATCAAATTGGAGATAAGGTATTCGCGTACGAGTTTTAGTTCAACAAATTATGTGTTAATTATTTAGTTAAACCATAACTTTTCATCGATCTCACATCTATAAATTATCAGCTCTGAGTTTTAGTTACTGTTTTAACTTTATCTTTCTAACTTTAATATCTTGTTTAAGAAAACAAATTTGAAATTAATAAGAAGATAAAAGAAATCTAGGAATGCGGGAAATGAAGAAATTTAATCCAAAATCATAAAAAATTAAATATTTTCTCTGTTTTTCAAAAGAAATAAAACATCCCAACGCAGTATTTGGATTGGATAACTAGCTTAGATGATATATGACGTGGTAACGTGCATCCGAGCCCCATTATCCAAATTTTATCATCCGAGCCCCATTATCCAAATTTTCTAATCCGAGCCCCATTATCCAAATTTTCCAATCCGAGCCCCATTATCCAAATTTTCCAATCCGAGCCCCATTATCCAAATTTTCCAATCCGAGCCCCATTATCCAAATTTTCTCATCCAAGTCCCATTGTTCAAATTTTCTCATCCAGACCCCAATAATCCAAATATTCTAATCCGAGCCCCGTTATCCAAATTTTTTCATCCGAGCCACCTAGCTTCAATTGCACATTTTTACTAAATTTAATGTTGGGTTCGTTTTTTAAAGCGATATAAGTTAATTTATGTTTTCACCTTTTAAAGTCTTTGACATAAATTCAAATTTTCTCATCCTTATATCTCTGCAACCTGATGGTTTAAACCATTATATTTAAAACTTAGATTATTTAAGAATTCATAGTTTGAAGTATCTAAGGTTTACAAGTTTGTGTTGAAAAAAATATAGATATTAGACAGTCAGAGTTTGTGACAAAAGACCCGATTCCTTTATTTTTCCCCCATGAACCAAAATAAGAAAATTCTTTATTCAATTTTGATGGAATTTATAACACCTAATATTTCCCGTTTTAGTGTAGGGTTATTAGGTCACTTTATCGGCCTACAACAGGGCGAAAGAGTAACTTTCTCACCCCTGCTATTAAAATTTCAAATTTCATACCTAATTTGTCTCATTGAATAATTTGAGTAAAACTGAATAAAACTATATATGTTATTGAAATGGGTATCATGCGTGCGAAAAAGTTTTTGCTCTGATTTTCAATTTTTCTAGTTTATTTTCGATCAAAATAAAAGTATTTTCACACCTCACTACGTTCGGTGTGAAAATACTTTCGTTTTATCTTAAACAAACTTTCGCACTTAATAATACCCATTACAATAACATAAATAGATATAATTTTCCGGTGAAATTAACAAACAATGGATTTTTTGCATTAGAACTTAAACATTTTTTAATTACCTGAAGCGCGAATTATGAAAGTTAATATAATTTTATTTGTACCCTGAGTTCCAACAAGGCCAGATTAAGAAAATTTAGTTTTTAGATATGGTTTGGATATAAAAAATGGAAAGAACTTTTGGCAATACTTGTTTCCAAATAGATTCAAGTATAACAATAGATGGCAACGTAGAATTTGTAAACTCTCAGTACAGCTGTACTTTGACGTCACTAGTTTCAGTTCAGTTTTTGTGTCCGACAAAATTATTAATAATTTTAGAATAAAGTGCTTATCTCACAGTTAAAAAAGTGAAATTTTATGTGTTCTGTATTTTCTGTTTTTACACTTTTTTATTTAATCTTGGAAAACATGTCAACTAATGGGAGAAAATTTCGTTTTCCTTGTTATATTTGACTTGTGACGTTGTGTATAATTGGTCCATTTCTCTGTTGCCACCTACTGTACTAAAGAATAGTCCAAAATCAACAAATGTTTTAATTATGGCTCCATACATCTTCATAATTAATACCCTTTTATTGTTGGGTATCTAATTAGTTTGATGAATAGTGAATTAATCATCCTTAAAAGGAATTGTAAAGTTAGCTGTTATTTCCAATGACCTTCTATTTTTAGAGTGCAGGCATGTCCGATTCCAACGGTACCCTCAAGCCTTTGTCTTATCAACAATCAATGATAAAGTTTTCTATCTGAAAATGGATTATTTTCAAATCTGATTTTCCTTACAAGTAAGTATTGGATTTGTGCTGCCTGCAAAGATATTGAAGGAAATTGCCAGAATTAAACTAGAGAAAATGAAGATATCTTCTGTTTTTTATAGCGTTGTGAATCGGACATGGCAATGTTTTAAATAGAGGTTTACTTGAAATTTATATTACAGTCTCTTAGAATGATTACTTAACCGCCATCGGCTTGAATTTAAATTTTGAAAAATTAAATTGTATTTGAATTTAAATGAATTTCAACTTCTGCTTTTGTTTATGTTTATTAAATCCAGTTGGAACTAAATAAACTTTATAATTTACTTTATGTGAAGCTTTCAGTTTACTCTCTTTTATGAATATATAACATTTATTTAAACATGTTTCCATGGACACTTCGCGCCTCTTTCAGATTTTCAGGGTTGTAAATATGCCAAATTGAATTTGAACACTATACAAAACGGCAATTTTTATGCTTATTTATTTTTTAATTTGGAAAAACCCAAAATTCTACGTGAAATTGGTCTGTTCGTGAAATGTCAATATTAATTTTGTTTGCAGAAGCCAATTTGAAACGAAATATTTAATTTTTTTTTACTTTTAAAATTTTTAGTAGCTTAAATAAAAATCAATTTAATTTTCTTAAACTTTAAAATTTGTATTTGCTTAAATATAGTTTTTAAACAATTTTTAACTTTTAAAGTTTTATTAGCTTCTACATAGTTGGATAGACCAGCTTTCCAGCTTCTTCCATTGTTAACATAACTGCGTGGTATCTTATTTTTATTAGCTTCTACATAGTTGGATAGACCAGCTTTCCAGCTTCTTCCATTGTTAACATAACTGCATGGTATCTTATTTTTATTAGCTACTGCATAGTTGGATAGACCGACTTTCCAGCTTCTTCCATTGTTAACATAACTGCATGGTATCTTATTAGCTACTACATAGTTGGATAGAGCGGCCGGCTTTCCAGCTTCTTCCATTGTTAACATAACTGCGTGGTATCTTATTAGCTACTACATAGTTGGATAGAGCGGCCGGCTTTCCAGCTTCTTCCATTGTTAACATAACTGCGTGGTATCTTATTTGTTTCTGTTATTTTTCGTTCTTCATTTTTAATTGTTTGGCAAACAAGCTGGAGTTAACACTACCTCCATTTAAATTATAAAAAAAAAAAAAATAAGTCAGACTTTTTTTCTTAAACTTATTTATTTTTTATTATTTAAAATCATTTATGAGATCAGAAATACATTGCACAGTAAAATAAACTTTTAGATTTATAGAATTCATTTCCTTTCCTTTTCGAGAACTCCTGAAATTTTCTTTTGAGACTTTTCACAAGAAAGGAATTGAGTCTTTGCCACAAATTCCGATTTTCTTTGCAGCCCAACTTCATACACCTTAGATATTATGTCAAACTATGAATTCTAGTAGATTAAATTTAATAAGTTTGAAATATCAATTATACTATCAGGTTGAATAGATATAGAGATTTGAAAATTTGCGTCTGTGACAAAAACTCAATTCCTTTGCTTTCATTTTACATAGCGATCCTGTATGAAACTTGCAAGTATAAAACAAGTTTTAAAGAAAAGTTAACATTTTTCTAGAATTAATTGTCCCCTTTGTGCACTGTTAAAATACCAATGAAACAGAAAATTTATCAATTCTACTTTTCTTTTAAACTTTTTCTTTNATATAACCATCATCAAGGAATCCTTCACTATATCTAAACAATATTAAGATCATCATAACCATTATCAAGGAATCCTTCACTTTATCTAAACAATATTAAGATCATTATGTCCCAGCCTGTTTAGGGAATAATAAACTGTAGGATTCTCCTTCATTCTAAAGGATAGAAACCCCCGCTTTGATAATTATATTTGAAATGATGGTTTACTCTGTTAAATACAAACCATTAGGTTTACAACAGTTTCCATACAGTTCTCTAGCAATTACAATATTACCAAGTCGAGGTTCACTTTATTTTAAACTAGAGATCAAAACTTTTGAATCGGTGATTAAAATTTGAACCGGCGGTAGGCACTTCAGCGACCTCGCAAATTCAATAATTCTAGTCCTTTTTTAATAATTTTTCTTTATAAATTTGCTTTTAATAATTTTTACAAAAAATCGTTTTTTACCAAAGATATTAATAAAACGAGTAAGAAAACAATTTATCATTATATTTGTTCTAACCTTTTTTAAAATCGTTTTTGCTGATATATTTAGAGAAAGTAAATATTTTGCCTAATGTAAAAAAAACTTCCGAGCAAAATATTCTGAATCTGGAAGTTAAGAACAAATCAGATTATTTGGGATCCTCTAAATAGTCCAGGAACTTAAAATGTTTCACGAACTATGCTCAATACGATAATAATCTACAAAACTTGATCCAAATATCCATCCACTAGCTTTAGCTAGAGATGGGCATCTTTTATGTCAACGAACAAAATAATTCAAAACAACGAAAATATTTCAATTGAACGATGCTGTCGTTCAGAAAAACTAACAAACGATAAAAGAGCGAATTGGATCGTTCAGAGATTTGCCATTGCGAACTTAAAAACTATAGTTTTTTACTGAACGAACGATTTTTACCGAGTTTTTGAGAAAACGATACCACGTCAGGATATTCTACAGGAAACTGATCTAAGCCGGGATTTAAAGCACAAAGAATGTAGAAATCTGAATCTTTATGAGTTCGTGATTACATTTAATCTCATACAATCACAAATCAAATCAAATCAAATCAAATCAAATCAAATTAAATCAAATAAAATCAAATCAAATCAAATCAAATCAAATCAAATCAAATATATATATTTGTCTCTTGTTAGATAGATTTATGAAACTAATAAAGTTTCATAAAAGTGTTGTATCCGCAATAATCCTTTTAAAGTCTTAAACTTTAGACTTTTTATGCAGGACATGGGTCTATAACTCTAATTACTTTTTTTTAAATATTTAAGTTTTCTACCTTTTTGTGGACTTTCGAAATGGTACTGTGGCTCGTATTTACTGGTATGCACTGTTAAAAAGTTCCGTCCACCTTTATTCTCACTGTCAGAATTATTGTATCTTCCCTTACTAGTTTCACAGCTTAAATACCGTCCATTCCTATCCTCACAGAGCTCATTATTATTCAGCTGAACCACGTCGGGGCTCGCGTTGTACTCGATAGGGTTGCAGTACACGCTGCTGTCCAGATATCCGGCGTGTAGCACCGGAGATTCACCTTGTGATGAGTCTATGCAAGTCTCGGGGGCAGAACTAATAAGTCCGGATTTGAAGCAGGAATCCTTCAAGGTATACAACCTAAGCAAACAAAGGAAATGATTCTTTGCCACAAACTCAAAATCATAAATTCTTATCTGTGCAACCTGATAGTGTAAACCCTAAAATTTCGAACTGAGATTATTTGATTTAAAACAGAATGCAAAGTTTGAAATATCTCAGGTCGAACAAAATCAGGTTGCAAAGATATAGGGATTAGACAATCAGAGCATGCGGTAAAGACTCAATTCCTTAAATAGTTATTTTTTTAAAGTTTTTTGAAGTTTGAAATTTCGGACGAAGTCTTTTAAGAAAGTTATATCTAGAGTATCACTGGGTTTATATCTTGTGTATCCTACCTATCCGGGTCCATATCTAAAGTACCATTAGGTTTATATCATGTATATCCTACCTATCCTGATCCATATCTAGAGTATCCCTGGGTTTATATCTTGTATATCCTACCTATCCTGGTCCATATCTATAGTATCCTTGGGTTTATATCTTGTATATCCTACCTATCCTGATCCATATCAATAGCATCACTGGGTTTATATCTTGTATATCCTAACTATCCTGGTCCATATCTAGAGTATCACTGGGTTTATATCTTGTATATCCTACCTATCCTGGTCCATATCTAGAGTATCACTGGGTTTATATCTTGTGTATCCTACCTATCCTGATCCATATCTATAGTATGCCTGGGTTTATATCTTGTAGATCCTACCTATCCTGGTCCATATCTAGAGTATCCCGGGGTTTATATCTTGCATATCCTACCTATCCTGGTCCATATCTAGAGTATCACTGGGTTTATATCTTGTATATCCTACCTATCCTGGTCCATATCTATTGTATCACTGGGTTTAGATTCTCCAAAATCGTAAGGTAAAGATCCAATCCCTGAGCTGCCGGTAGTATTCTGATCGCTTTGCTCGTAATCTGAGTCTAGTCGGTCAGCGTACTCATCACTTGTCAGCAGGTAGACCCAGGCAGCCCCCTAGAAATCATAAATGAATATTTTTGAAAAATGTAGATAAAAACATAGCTGTCAAAGATTCGTTCAAATAATGCTAACTTAGAATATATGGAAAATTAATGAGCAACCGTGAAGCTGTTAACTTAAAAATCACAAACAATTTGGTAATCACAGAAATTGAAATAAAATAAGTTGAAACCATCATAAAAACGAGGAATTATATGGACGTGAATTTAATCCAATAAACATATTGAAAAAAACGCTTCAAATGAAAAAAAAGTACTATGAACAATAATGAAAAGGTTAAAAGAAGCAATAATTGGAATGCTATAGATACAAAAGTAAATGAAAAAGTACTATGAACAATAATGAAAAGGTTAAAAGAAGCAATAATTGGAATGCTATAGATAAAAAAATAATTGAAAAAGTACTATGAACAATAATGAAAAGGTTAAAAGAAGCAATAATTGGAATGCTATAGATACAAAAATAATTGAAAAAGTACAATGAACAATAATGAAAAGGTTAAAAGAAGCAATAATTGGAATGCTATAGATAAAAAAATCAATGAAAAAGTACAATGAACAATAATGAAAAGGTTAAAAGAAGCAATAATTGGAATGCTATAGATACAAAAGTAAATGAAAAAGATAATAAAAGGTACTGTGTACGTAGTTATAAGTTAATGTCAAGAGTTTCATGTCTGCATTAATCCTTTTTCTTAGTAAAGAGAATATCATTGGTTTTCTATCTAAAAATTGATGATTTCCATGTGCGGGTACTTTGAAACAGTGGCTAGAGGAGTTATTTAACAGAGATAAGGAAGTAAATTGACAAATTTTGTTTTTAAGATGCAAAAACGACAATATATCTTCCTAAAAGGGTACGATTTTTAAATTTTAATGAATGGGGAGTGGGGGGGGGGTCCTTGAAAATATGTCTACTGCTTCCATTTTAACCCTATAAAGAATTGTGGATCTAAATCTATGTATAGCCGGGGGAGAATTTAGACAGACAACTTAAATAGTTTGAGAATGTTGAAAAAAATGCCAAAAAAGGATATAAAAAATATAAAAATTATTTTAGATTTTTTTAGACAAATATCAAGATGTGACACATGTTTCAACATTCAGTTTTCAAGGGCTTTTAAAAATTTAGATTTGTAGTTTTAGTTTAAAAAAAGTTATGGGCTATTTTATTTTTTTTTATTATATTAAACGGACCGGACTTTTTTACCGCCATGTTACCCTACCCATGCATTTAAACAAAACAAAAAAATTTTACAAAAAATCCTTCAAATTTTCTTTTGATTAAAAAAGGGATGTGGCGTCAAAAGCCCCCCCCCCCCCCCGACTATTTAGGGTTAATTCAAGTTTGTTTACCTGTTTCTGAAGAACCTTGACGCTACAAAGCATATATTCAATGTGTTCCTAAAAAAATCATTTCTTCATTTCCTTTATTTCCTAAATTTTATTTTGTTTATTTATTTAGGTTCTTGTTATTTTGAGGTGGATGCATTTTTCATGAATGAAAACATGGTGGATTCATTCTCTTCAAATATTTATTTCACATTTTAGAATTTCAATTTTGTTTTGCCTCTACCGACCTATGATTCTGCATTACATAGGTAGGTTAAGTTACAAGTTACTTAACGTCCCTTGGTACAATTAAGAAAAATAACAACCTGCTCTGCAAAGTTTTCGTGAAAAAAATAGCGCATTTTCATAGACGATACAAGTAGAGTACAACTAACTTTTCGAGAAATTAGTTTTATATAATTATAACTTCAATGCAATGCCGATCAAAATTTTATGACATGGAATTAAGCTCATTGATTCACCTCCATATTTAGGCGAATCAAAGAGTTCAAACTCATAGAAGATTAGAAAATGTTTTATTTGTACCTTTGGCCAATAACAGATCGAATAAAATTCAGTGTTGCGATTTTATCAATTATTTAAACGTACTAGGCTTTTAGGGCGCTTCGCGCCCATCTTCTATTTAAATTGTGAACATGTCCTTTTTGTTTACATTTAAAAACAAAGAAGAAAATTTTTTGGCGGATTTTTAAAAAAAATTCGCGGATTTGCAAGAATTTAATTTTTTTTACAAAATTAAAAACCTTTAAAACACATTTTTTTAAAAATTTTATCATTCATAAACCTTCCCTGTGGTCACGTGATGTCCCACAAAAAATTTGGGCCCAATCGTCAACCGTTTTGGCGTTTATTGGATACAAACAGACAAACAAACAGACAGACAAGCCAAATTTATATATAGATTCAATTTAAATCAGGTTCATTGCTTCTGGGCATTGTTCTTCACATTTAAAATATCTCAACAGTTTTGAATTTAGTAAAATAATACTAAATAGTGATTCCAAAACATGATCAAATAAAAAACAAGCTTGTTTTCGAAAACAAATTATTTACTGATATAAAGAAAGTAATTTAATCTTTTTTTAAAAGTACATACAACGTTTTAAAAGCAGTTTTTAAATATTACGTTTCAGAAGATTTTAAGTCTTTTTGAAGATATTGGGTGCTTTCCCAAATTCATTTTCACAAGTAGAACTTCCCGATGATATTTTCCCCAGTGGCAACTTCCCAAATGTATAATTTCCCAAGTCTGTCCTGAACGCAGTGCTCGGCCCCTAGAATGTTCTGCCCGCAGTGCTCGCCCCTCTAGCCCATCCTGGCCGCAGCGCTTGGCTTTCATTGCAGCCTGCGGCGCCTCAAAAGGTCTAACTTAACCTTTTGGAAGTTTCCACTTGGGAAATTGCACATTTTGGAATTTGCCACTTGGGAAGCCGCCCTTGGGAAAGTACCTAACAACTTTTAAATACCTGTGTAACACCAACCATGAGAAGATCAACCTCACCCATCTTTTTCACTGTTTCCAGATCATCATAACCATTATCAAGGAATCCTTCACTATATCTAAACAATATTAAGATCATTATAACCATTATCAAGGAATCCTTCACTGTATCTAAACAATATTATATTAAGATCATCATAACCATCATCAAGGAATCCTTCACTATATCTAAACAATATTAAGATCATCATAACCATTATCAAGGAATCCTTCACTTTATCTAAACAATATTAAGATCATTATAACCATTATCAAGAAATCCTTTACTATATCTAAACAATATTATATAAGATCAATATAACCATTATCAAGGAATCCTTCACTATATCTAAACAATATTAATATTATTATAACCATTATACAGAAATCCTTCACTGGTTAAAAACAAATTTATTTCAAAACCTGTTTTTGAGTTTTGGAAGCCACCTTTAATTTAAATTTGGGTCTGAAATTTGTCAAAATCTTAGATTAGAAGAAAATTTGGCATTTCCCATATGCTTGTGCTGATCTATTTTCTAATCGTTTGATGTTTTCTATAAACTAATTTTATTAATTATAAATCTTTCTTAATTAATTTTTGCAGAAAAATAGGATATTCAGCTAAACATGCAATTTGATATATCTATATAATAAAGCTCTTTACTCATTTATATATGTAATCGGTAGCCGGCCAAACGGCTGGACCGAATGGGCTTAAATTTTTTAGGTAACCCGCTTTAAATCATTTTATTTTTATTTTTTGAAATTCCATGGACAACGCCGGGTATTTCAGCTAGTCTTATCTATAATTTGAAATCCAGAGCACAAGAAGAGTAATAAATGGGAAATAAGGTTTTTGGGACTTTTTCAAAAAGGTTGATATTTCTCCAGGTCCTAAAAGGATCTCTGTGATAGAAAACATTTACATTTCAAGCTATGGATTCTGCTAGCTACACTGCAATTAGTCAAAGTTTGAAAAGGTTGCAAAGGTTGTTCAACCTCTATATTTTTAGATAAGATAACAAACGTGATTTTTAAATATTCCATGAAAGAAGAACGAGCGATAAAACTTTTAATAAAACAGCAAAAATTATGGATTTATGAATTTACAAATTAGTTAATCATCAAATTATAGTTACATTACGATTTGAGTTATTAGATCGACTAAAGGAAATAAGAAAAAAAAGTTTAAACAAGGGTATAACTACACTTTTATAAGTTTATGACTTTATGAAAAATCTATGTGAATTGCATGAAATGTTGTGATTTTTTTTATGACTTTTTAAAATAATTTTTTTTATAATTTTTTAAATAATTAGTCTACCTTTCCATCTCTAAGAACTGTAACCAGGTGAGAACTGAAAAAGAAATCACGTCTAATTTTGTTTAAAAATTAACAGTTTCTAATTTCGGAGGGAGGGGGGGGGGGAGGGATTCGATTTCCTCTCTCCTAAAAAGTTAGGATATGTATTTAGGGGAATCTTTTTTGAAACATCTAAAAAAATGTTATTTTCGATATTGCGTTTTATAAATAGTTTTTATATAAATGGTTTAGAAGCTTACGAAGCTATTTTATTTTCATAATTTGGTGTTTGCACACCAATCCACTTTCTGGCCTGGGAAGAGTTTGCTTAACTTGAGTGATCTTAGGTTTACTCATTCTCAACCCCAACCATCTACTATTTAATTGAGCGTATTTTAATGATTTTCGTGAAATTATTTTGGCATGAGTACAGGGTGAGTCTAAAGAAAGTGTGATTTGCGGCGCCTGGTGTAAAATTGTACCTTTTTTGTGCAACTCTCCTGTATGGTGTTATTTTATATTTTTAAAAAAATCGTATTTTTTGGTACTCCAATGGCCCAAAAGAAAATCCGCAAACATTTTTTTCTCTCAAAATTAAAAGTTCAAAACAGCAAAAATGTGTATATAAATAAGTTTTATCGAAATCATAATATTAAAAAGATTGAACAGAATCTTAGAAAATTTGCAAAATTGTAATTCAAAATTTTGCAATTTTCAGTTCTGGTATAATTTTTACGGACAAATTGTATTTTCATACTTTCGAATAAAGTAAAAAGAGAAAACTAGAGAATTTAAATAACTTTTCCTTAAATATTAGACCGGAACAAATAATTGCGAATTTTCTTATTAAAATTTTGCGAATTTTCTGAACTTTTAACTTGAGAGAAAAAAGGTTCGCGGATTTTCTTTTGGGTCATTGGAGTACCAAAAAAAATTACAAATTTTCAAAAAATATTTTAAAAACACTATACAGGAAAGTTGCACAAGAAAAGGTACAATTTTGCACCATCAGGTGCCGCTAATCACAGTTTTTTTTACTCACCCTGTATATAATTTAGTTTAAATTCAGTGTTATCGGTTTCAACAGAAAATATTTAATTTTAAATGAATAGAATCTACAGCAATAACCAGAAAACTGTATATTTGGAAGACAACATTAAAGCAAGTGCATGTAATGTGGTTTCAAAGCTTAAATAAGTAGGGTAGTAGGCGATTATATTAATATAACGAAGACGGCATTTAATTTCAATTTTTAATTTATATCAAGCTTTTAAAGAGCATGGATACACACAAAGAGAAGCTACCAATTAAAAGAGCTTCTCTTTTATTACTTGAAAACTTGTAAAACGAAAAAAAGTTGTGAACAATTAAAACTGAAAAAAAATCGTCTTCATTATATTGATCTAATCGCCTACCACCGTTTATTAGAATGTTATTAAACCACATCTCAAATGAAATGGATCTGTTTGAAAATTACATTCGCTGTGCCTCATGTGGATCGGACTATTTAAACTCGAGTTTCTATTTCAGAGTTTTCTGGCTACCATCTGTAAAATGAATTTTAGATATTTTGTGTACACAACACAAAAAACCCTATAATTATATGTTTTGATCCGAGTTTGAAAATGTTATCCTTAAATATAGCATATGTTCAGTATATACTTGAAAATGCAAAATACTTGAACAGTAAAATTGTTTCAAAGAAAATCAAAAGACGTCTTAAAAATACAAATTTAGATTTATTTTAAAGTGATTTCCTATGTTTTTGTAGTTATTTGTCGGCATGGTGCAGGTCCACTCTAATTTCTTTCTTCAGTCAGAATATTGTTTTCAAGTTCCAGCATTTTCATCTCAATTTTTAGTCATTTGGAAACATTTTGGAGAATACGAAATATCTCGCAATCTTTTCTAAAAACATTAGAAATACATATTTTAAAGTAAATAAACATTAAATTTATTTAATTGTTAATATATTTGACAATTGCTACCAGCAAACGGTAGATAGAAGTCGTTTTCTTTCTTAAATATCAAAAAAGCGACATTTCTTTAAAAAAATACTTTAAAGAATTCCATGTTTTCAGGTTACCTGGTTGCAAAAAACGTGGTAGGTCGAAAAAATTCTAATAAACACATATTTGGTATATTTTTCTGTTTAAAGCATTTCCAAAAATATCAGTTGTGGACATTTTTCCCAGGCAAACTATTTCCCTTTTAACCGGCCCTAGACCTTTCCTTGAGTTATGTGAGTTTTGACGTTTATTGAATACAGACAGATAAGCCAAGTTTATATAAAGATATATTGATTCTTGAAAAAGAAAGTGTTTTTAACCCTATCCCCGCTGGGGTACTTGAAAACCAGGATACGCTGGGGGGGGGGGTCAATTTGACCCCCCCCTCTAAATCCCATGTTTTATGTCCAAATATGAATCTGACCCAACAAAAGAAAAGATATTTATTTTTAGTATTTCAGTTAATATGAAATAAAAGAAGATTTAACCTGTATACATCATTCTTGAACGAATTCTAACTTTACAGATATTTTTGCTGGTTAATTAATAAAATGCATTTCCCCTTGCACGTTCTAGTGGAAGGGGGGGGGGGATATGGTTGAAATTTCATTAACGAAAATTATTAGAATTTAGGAAACTAATGAAAATTCCTATTTGATCATTTTATGCATAAAATAAAAGTCTGTACCTCATTTTTTTACTTTAATTCTGTTTACCTAAAGTCGTCCTTAGTCATTCAATATACTCAAATATGGTGTACTCTTGCTTTTTACCTCTACTACCTTGGAAATCCAGCTTTACCTGGAAACAATATTTTCTCTATAAAAGTAAGCCAACTCGACTTACACGAACATTCCCGTGGTTCTATCGAGTTTCCCACCCAAATTTGAAGCAAATCGGTCTAGGGGTTTATGAGTTCAAAGTCAACCAACTCGACTTAAAATTGTAAAACCAAGCTAAGGACATTCCCGTTGTTCTATGAGTTCCCCACCCAAATTTGAGGCAAACAACCAGATATCACTATTTTATTTATGTAGATATTTCTTTTATCATTTCTCGGATAAATTTGTGATTTTCAATAAGATTTTTTATAAAAATACATAAAATAAAATAAAAAATTAGATACTATTAGGTATATTTTTCAAACTAAATATAGAGTGAAATTTCAGGCCGTTAATTGGTTTCCACATCCAAGAAACCCTATTAAACGAAACATAAGCAAAAATTGCCGTAAACTATTTTTGTATAGTATATATTGTTAAGATTATAAAATTCATTAATTTCTAAACAATTAATGTTGAACGAGAAAAAGGACTGCATACGTCTATTCATTTGAACGAGTGGCATGTCTGATGAGCAAGGAAACCTTTAACATTTTGATTAATTAATAATGAGTAAGATATCCTTATCTTTCTCTGGGAAAATTGATTCTTTTCTATTGCGGTTTCTTTAAAAAAGTGACAAATGGATTTATGCCTCTGCTTTCAAAAGTAAATAAAATTAAATTGCTCAAAGTTTTAAACTTTAAAAAATAATCTCATAAAATTGAGACCTACTTTTTTTCTGTTCCCACAACCTCTATTTTTAGAGGTTTTTAAATATTTTCTCCTGAAACACTTAATTTTGTATGTTTTTGTTATATGTCATAAACAAATAATTTTTTACTTTTTTGTCTGAAATCAACATACTTGAAAAAGTACCGAAAAACTTTCGTTTCCATAAAAAAATATTTTTCTGTTTTCGTTTTTCTTTTTAGAATAACAAGTATACTTAATTCAGGGGCAGGCAGAGACAGAACTCTCTGAGGAGATTACAACATAAAAATAATTCTATTTATCATAAATGTATCTGCCTATACCTCTGATCTAATCTTTTTGGCTCAATAATTTTGTGTAGCAAAGCCACAAGAATATTTTTACGTAGATATTCTTTATCACTCACCTGTCAATCAAAATTGATAGCAAAAATAAGTTTGTACAATCTTACACAATCGTGTAAAATGGAGAATCATGACTATCCTAATACTTTGATTTTTGATTATTATTTATTTAATAATTTTATCATCAGGGCTGAATCAGAATTTTTCTGGTTTGGATTTTCACACCGTAAACTAGACGGAGGGAGAAGGTCAAATTTATGCGACATTACTGGCACAGCTTTGTGACCTTGAGTCTCCTCTAGTTTTTATTTTACGCAAAAGTATAAAATAAGCAAGGGAATGGAATTTTTGCCACAAATCAATTTTATAAATATTTATATCTTTACAGCCTAATGGTGTAAACCTTTTATATTTCAAACTTTTTGATCTATAAGATTTCATAGTTTGAAATATCTAGGGTCTATGACATCGGGTTGAAAAGATATGGGGATTTGTTTGTTACAAAGACTCTATTTCTTTATCTTGTTATATCATCAAAATTGGACACAATTTAGTTATTCTCAGTAGCTCTTTTATAAAAATAGTTTTTATTGAAAACATAAAAATTTCAATTTTCCGTGGAATTTACGCTAGTTTCACGTGTTCCACCTCCGTCCAGTGCACGGTGGAATTTACGTTAGTTTCACGTGTTCCACCTTCGTAACATGCACCCTGGAATTTACGTTAGTTTCACGTGTTCCACCTCCGTCCAGTATACAATACACCGGTAAACTAATATTAAACCTCCGCTACCATCCTCTACCATCCTCCGTCATCCTCCGGCTAATAATCAAGAGCCTCAGGGGATCATCGGACACTGCGGGGGTCATGGATTATGGACAATCTTAGACTGTTCTAAGTCTGTGGTTACTTGATCTAAGATTTGGGTGAAACTATTCTTAGGTTGGGGTTGAACGCATTCTTAGGTTGGGGTTGAGCGCATTCTTAGGTTGGGTTGAACTAATTCAGAGCTGGGAGTTAAACTCATTCAGAGCTGGGAGTTAAACTAAATCTGAGCTTGTAGTTCAAGTCATTCAGAGCTGGGAGTTAAACTCATGCTGAGCTTGTAGTTGAACTCATTCTCACTTTGCATAGCTAAATTCAGCTTGGAGTTAAACTTATTCCACGAGTCAAATTTAAGTTAGTCTGAGCTTGGATCTAAAAGCTTTAAATCTTTCAGAAAATTTGATTCAGCCGTTTGTCTAGCTAAAAAAATCAATATATGACATTTTGTTACAAAAATATAGGATATAAATATAAATAAGATTAACCCTATTTAATCTGGGGATGAGGGGGGGGGGGTCACGTTGACCTCACCTTTCGTTTTTTTGCGAAAACTCTAAAAGTATTTGGGCTAGGAAGCTCAAATTTTCTGGTTTTTCTTACAACACATAACCCTTACTTAAGGCTAAAAGCTGGGATGTTATACCTACTGCCTAAGTCCTCAGGCATACTGTCTAAATGTCTTATTTTACCTACACCGAACTAAATCTATATTTAGACCTACTTCCAGTTATTGGATTTCAACATTTTATAGCTCTTTGGAAAGCCTATAACAATAGCAAGCAAAATGCACAATTTGTGCACAGACGCCTTTAAAGGGAATTTGGCACTGCACATTTTCAGTTTTCTTGAATAGGTTTAAAAATTTTGCAAATGTTTTTGCATATTTGAACTCGCTGGGTCAAGGGCTTTTCAAAAATTTGAATAATTTGTTGCAATTTGCGCAGTTTTATTTTTTGAACATTTTTTGCTTCATAATTAGATGTTGCAGTAAATATTTGGATTTTTTAAATTTACCATTTTCAAAGTTTATTTAGGTAGAGCCCAAGGGCTTTCCAAAAAGGTATCAAATGTTATAAATTTTTATCACAATAAGAAAATAGAGAGAGAGGTTCAATTGGACCCCCCCCCCCCCAAGGCAACCAGTCAGTAAGCAGACGTCAGGATATAAAGGGTTAATCTTGGTCTCTTTTTTCAAAATATACTTTTTTACCGAAAAATTTATTAAAAATTGTTTAACTTTCTTCCAAAAGCGGAACTTTTTTGAACTTCCAACTACCGTCTTGTTTAAAGAGACTGTAAAGAAAATGAAACGGGGTATAGGGTAAAACCTAAACATTTTAGGAGTTGATCGAGGCCCATGAAAGTTCTATCTGATGTTCCTGTCTCGAGAAATGGATATAAAACTGTGTCAAATTTATACGAAAAATATATATATATATATATATATAAAATTTTGTATAAAAATATTAGTTTTAAAATCATATTCAGCAAATACACAACCAATCTGAAAACGATATCCCAGAGGAGCCTAAGAAATTTAGGTTTGCTCCTGTTAAATTTTTGATTTAATAATTTTGATTTTTAATAGAAAGAATGTATAATATAATAAATACGTCCTTATCATGTGACCAGAACTCCCATCAATGGCAGTGCAGTGTCATTATCACGTGACTCCGTCTGTATCAATGAGCTTGCAGTTTTGAGGTCTAAGCTTGGAGTTAAACCAAGTCTGAGCTTGTAGTTGAACTCAATCTGAGTTTGGAGTAAAGCTCATCATGGGATTGGAGTTAAACTTGATATGAGTAGGAGCTAAACTTATTCTGAGCTTGAAGTTAAACTTATTCTGAGCTTGGAGTTTAAACTTATTCTGTGTTGGATTTAATAAATTCTTTGCTTGGCTCCAAACTCATTATAATTGCTGGTAGTTTCCCAAAACATATTTCAGTAAATTTGGTCCAGCCGTTTTGCCAAAAATCAAAAATATATAAAATTTTATACAAACAAAAACAAAATATTACCAACTAATTTAAAGTTTAATTATGGTTTCTATTGTCAAAAACTTTTTTATCTAAAAATTAATGCAAAATTGTTTTACTTTTCCAACTTTTCCCCAGAAACAAATGAAGAACGAGTTTTAAACTTCCACCAACTAGTGTTTTGTTTAAGTTAATTTCTTTTAATTTTGTTTTGTTTAG